GCAGAACAACGTCCGGGGTCCACTCGACGCGTGTGTGTGTGTGTGATAATGAGGGCACATTTAATCTTACATGAAGGTATCCATGAAGGTATACCTGTACCCAATCTCCGTGCAGCCAGCTGTTTCAAACTGTTCACTTGTTAGATCTCGTCAGCAGCGGAACTCGGAGTTATTGGCCGAACCGGTGCATGGCAATGAAGTCTAATGAATGACAAAGCATACCGCCCCAAAGCATCGAAGTCAGAGCTCTTTAATACTGCCATAAACACAGCTTGCAGTGTCCTGAGATTATTCGACGGTCACTATTAGCCTCTTGTACAGTCATGGGATTTTCCCAGCCCACAAACGACATGCCGACAGTTCACATTATGGTAGAGCCTGAATTTGTAGAGCCTGAATAGTGACTGTGTACTGGACGCGCTGCTTCTCAGTTTGCTCAGCCAATTCAATGCATAACGCTAATCCCATTTGGGGTACTTCCAAGTAGTCTTTGGTAAGAACATAAAACATGTCGTTCCGTTAACGCGCTGAGTGCATCAATCAACCAACAAAACAAAAAACCGACCAACCAGCAACCAACCGACAAATAGACAAATGCGATGGTGTCGAAAGATAATACATGCATTTCAATGCTGATGCAGTGATGGTACATGTACATGTACGTGAGCCTGGTGCACCTACTCCTGGAGGACGACAACATAGTCGGGACATGGGCAGGTGGTACAGTGTATAAGCACGCGTGGTGCGTTGTTGGTTATCTGGAACAGGCCGCTTGGTTTCTACAGTCTACTCCACTTTATACAGTTCAGCGATTATTTTGTGATCATTCATTATAGCGAACTGCTGACCATGTCCCAGTTTGAACCCATATTTTATTATTTGACCCTAAGACCAGACAGTAACCAGACAGTAAAAAGCCGTCAGATGAGAAAACAGACCTTATCACAAAAAAGTCATATTTTTGTTTGTGGTACTATCTGATTGCCAGGAGCACCAGGAATCGTATGCAGAAAACTAGAGTTGATTTGGACCAGGGAAAGCAAAGTTATAGCCTCGACAGTAGGAGACCATTACAAATTGCACCTCAATTTTGGGTGCAATACCAACAATTGTTTCACCTACTTTGGATAATATTTTCTGTTTCCTTTGACCGATTTCCACAAACTTGGGCTTTCTGGAAAGCTCTGGCGACAAGCAACCCGTTGGGCCCAAATCCGATAGCAAATAAAGCACAGCTCCAGCGCATCAAGCTGCAGACATCGCTTCAGCGCTAGACTTGCGCCGTCACACGAAAATCGCTCGCCAATTCCATCTCCATTATCCCAGGACGCCCAATTTTTTTCGTGAAGATGCAGAGAGCTTCCAAGACGTCTGAGCCTGTTGCCGAGATCGTAGATCGCTTGAAAAGGGGGAAACCCCAGGTCTGGAGCGTTTGACTCGCGTGTAGAAATGCAAAGTGCCGTGACGTATCTTGCAGGCTTCGCATCTCGGGAACGCAGCATCGTGCCGCGATCGCGCTTGCTGCATTGGATTCCTTGGAGTTTTCTCTTCGATTTACATACTTGGATTGTCTTGAAAGACTGAAATACGACGGTTTGTAGCTTGGTTGTCCAGACGCACCAGTGGGTAAACTCGCCTACTTTCAAGTGCACTTTTCTGCACTGTACAGTTTTTGCGATAAGGTCTGTTTTCTCATCTGACGGCTCCAGGCTTTGTAGCGAACCATGTCTAAGTTGAAGGGGCGCATTTTGCTAACCAAGTGCAAGGCAAGGGCACTCGTACCTGCATACAGGCATGGGCCACCTGCCAGTCAAGACTTGATGCTTCTGTGAATGCATTTCTGTTATAACGAACTTCGTTATAAAGAACTAATCTTTCTGCGCAATGGTGTTCGTTATATCAGAGGTATTTTGTTTTTTGTGCTTGAAATACACACCCATTACCTATTCATTAGCTAAGGAAGAACAAAAGTTGCAGCGCTAGCAAAAATGGCTGAGTCGACGTGCTATCGTCCCTGTGGGGGGATCTTTCACGCACAGTGTGCAGCTTTGAATAAGCATGCTTGGAACGAAGAAGGCAAGAAATGGGTACATGTACATGTACATGTAGATCGAGTTGCAAACACCCATTCCATGGTGAATAGAGTTGGCTTCCGTCTCTTATCGAACACGACCTACCATTTCAGCCCAGCGGCCTGTCGCAGCAATCTAGAAAGCATCTAGGCATGCGACATGCACCGGGTCACTGCCCTTGTTAGACAAGACATTACTGTGTTTTGGTGACACAAGGAACGTATACAATGTGACTTACTGCGCTCGGTGCGCATAGCCGCATAGCCGCCATCCAGTGCCTGTCGCACGTAACTAGTGATGCAAACGAACCGTGCCGCTCTCCACGCTGCATCATAAGCCATCAATGAACAGTCACGCGGAAGGCTAGCTAGGCGTGGTTAAAAAAAACTAGCTGTCCAGCCGGGTAAGGAGTTACGTTAGTGACTGCGTAGAAAAGCGTGTGAAAGACGTACTAATTCGAATCCATGCTTTCCCATCTCCGGTCCAACCCGGGCACTTTTTCTTCTCTCTGACTTCTCAACACCCTCCCCTCACTACACTGTATTTGCACTGGACAAACACAACAAAAAGTTACGTTTTGGTGTTTCAAAACCAAGTCCTGCTTGGAAGCGGAAGGATATTTTCCAGCCGTGCTGAAACTCACACGTACACGGGAACTTGTGGCCGGGCACGAGGGAAACATAGGAGCTTCATCTGCGCCTTGATATCCTTAGCCGCTTAGGCCAGTTAGGTGTTGGCGTTCCTACAGATACCTCCAGCCAAGTCTCACGTGAACCGTGAACTGTTCACACGTCCTTTCATACGTACATGTACATGTATGTCGTGTACTAAGCGAATGATGGCGTGAAATAATGAATTTGCCACTTCATGATTTACATGTACATGTATAGTAAAGAAAAAGGACCTAGGAACTACAAGTTACGCTAGTATAATGTCCACTAACACCACCAGTTACTAAGCAATCAGCTCATGGTCCTTTTTCTTTAGTATACATTACCCTTGGCTCTCCATCCGAGTCCCCTTCATGATTCTCTGACATAGTAAACAGATACAGATATTATGCAAGATAGTAGATGGATGGTCTTGCTTGCTGTTGGATGTGGCTGACAAGACTCGCCCACGTTAGTGCTCGGACCGTTTTTTAAAGGTTCGAGCACTAAAAATTGCTCTTGTGGAAAGCAGCCTCGTCCTGGCGTGAATGTCGGTGACAGGTGTCGCCATGTCGGTGATCGCAAGTACACCATGCCCTTGTAACCACCATCTTCGACCTCTGGTTTTATTGACCTTACGTGTCGCGCTCATCGCTTGCGTTTTGGCTTCCTATTGTAATACATGTATGCTCAATGTCTCCACGCTAGTAATATCCATTGTTAGACAAGGAGAAGATCTTCACCTGTGGTCTGCAACATTCATGTCATTATGTGAAATGCTATTTTTGCTAGTAGGGCATTGAAGACCTTCAGAACTTCTTTGTCACACCCTTTCGCCTTTCACTGCCCTTGAAGATGACTATGGTGTTCTTCCAGTCATAACATTTGACCAGAATTAGCTCTACCATAGCCAGGGGATATCAAATATGCTGAACAACGCCAATAACACCCCCAGCGCCTGGCCAATATCATTACAATGGCCAAGAAGGCGATCAAGTATCAGAAAATGTGGTCAAATGTTGACTTCAGGCGCGATCTTCCTACTTGGAAGCAAAACCCGAGGTCGTGTTGGGCCCTCACGTTGAGTGTAGCAAATGTTCAATTCTTCCGGACCACTTCTGCATCATGGACATGAACATGTAGATCACTTAGGCCTTGTCTGAACCTGGGCCCTGAAACCATCCACCGTTGGCGATGGCTAGGGCAGTGCTACATGATGTACCACGTACAGTAATCCGTTCGGTCCGGGGCAGAAACTGCAGCAGCGGACTTCTCCTTTCAGTGATGGTATACCGTCGTCATCGTATGGGTGTTCAAAACCTTCTGATGTTTGTCTGAGCGCCACGCTGCGCGGCAGAATGCAGCATACTACTTTTCCCCAACTGCGCCCTGATTTGCAACTATAGTGGGTGCGAACCGCAGGGCAATGAAACGCATGTAGCCCGCCAGTTGTCGTGTCGTGCAGCCATCCACATGATTACTGGACAGGGCAGTGCTGGCGCATGGTCGGCGAGTCCTTTCTGGATAGTGCCCTTCTGTCGCTATGCTGTCTGGTACCCCTGCCGACAAATACATTAGCGTTCAAGTGCATTGGACATGCGCAAAGTTCGTTGACAGTGCAAAATATTTTTGTATTCTTCAACACCGCGCCGTGCCACACCATTGTTAGAATATGTACAACTTACTTTGCATTCCTACCGCTCAATAGTACATCAAACAGCCCAATCCGGTTAGTGACAACTCACATGCTGCCAATACCGGAGGCCTGTAACCTCTTGGATGTTCTAGTGTCCACTTAGATCACGCTCCATCTTGCCTTTTGACCAGACGATTTTAATTTTTTAGAAAGGGACACTTCATGGAGTAGCACAGCCATGGCATGTTGGTGACTTCGCGGGCACCAAGCGTCAAACAAAGTCAAAGACCCCGATTCAGTGTTCAATGGTCCTGCATCGCGTGCACGCTGCATGCGTTCACGCTGTTGCCACAATTATCATACTCATGGGGCATGCCTTCGCCTCGACATGCTCCCCCGTATGCAGCATATCGTCAGTCCAGATCGCATAGCACGAACTATGACCGATTGTGACCGATACATTCAAAGAGGGCTAGGGCCGTAGTCGGGTCCAGATAGCGCGATGCCTGTGTGCATGTGGCTGGATGGTGCTCGACCATGTCAGAAATCCGCGCCACTTCCGACATGGGAAGGTTTTTGCCGCACGTGACACCAAAGCGACCGCGCGCGGCAAGTATAAAACCTCCTAACCACGATGGTAGCCGTATCAGATTCAAGAGTTTCTTCAGCAGTATTTTCCTCATCAACCATGGCTGTTTCTTGCTCACTTCCCTGTTTGATGGTCTGCTTCTTGTGTGTGTTGGCCTGCACACGGTTTGTGCAGGGTCAAACTGGAGAGAATGGCTGTGCCTCACCTGTGTTAGAGCAATACAGGCACCGTTACACTCTGAATGGTCGCCATCACTGCAAGGCTCTGGTGGAGAACAGGTGTGCCAAATATGGCTATGCGCACACCACTGAACGCAACTTTCTCAACCACGAATCGCAGCGAGAGGCCAGCAAACAGCTGCACAACTTCGACCAGTTGATTGCCAGCAACTGCAGTGCTGAACTGGAGTTTCTGTTGTGCACTTTCCACTTTCCAATCTGCTTGGCCCAGCTCAACGACCCTGTGCAGCCATGTCGGGCCATGTGCGAGCGTGTCCGCGACGGTTGTGCGCCTTTGCTGCAGCGGCAGGGATACAGCTGGCCCTCTGCGCTGGCCTGTGATCGCCTATTGGACCGGTCAGCCGTGTGTGACGGGCGCCCCGAGGTATGCGTCAACAAAGTCGGTCCAATTGCGTCCACACCAAACAGCCCTAACTCTCAAGAAAATGGCGATGTTGTGCCGCCAACCCAGATCACCGCAACTTACCCGTCTAGTCCCAGCAAAGCCAAAGCAGACACACCACGGGGAGCAGAAACAAGTGTAGAGGTGGTCTCACCACGTCCTCTTCTTCCACCCGTGCTGGAGACAACAAACATCAGTTGCGAGGCGCGATGCTCCGGCGTGCGGATTTCCAAGAGACAGCCCAGCCGAACGCAGTGGGGTAAGCGAGATCACTGTACATTTACATGAGCCATTCACCCTTTATACTGTTCTGCTCGTGAAGAGGAGAGCAGTGTAATGGTCAATGTGGGATGATCAATGTAGTGAAAAAAAGCCCTGCAGTTTGGTCCACCTGAACAGCTCCGCTTTCTAATACGCATTATGCAACAAAGGGAAACTAGAATGTTACTGACAACGAAAGAGGTGAAGGCACTACACTACTAGGTACATTGTACATGTATACGAACTGCGAATGTGCGAGCAAGCGGTTAAGAGATAGGGACACGTGATATACTCTGGCTTCATACATGCAGGTACTGTCGTCGCTTACTGTTGAACACTACCGGCGGGAAGCTTAGAATCTTTCACTGCAAATCGGGGAGTTGTGTAGGGTGTATACAACTCCCTACAGCAAATTCTCGATTATGCTTGTAGTAGGATCAACACCTGTGCTGCATGAGAAACATGACAAAACTATAGGCGATCTGAGTGTTTGGCGAAACGTGTACCATAAAGCTACTTTATGTGCGTTTCTCGCAGATCGTCCGAAAATTGTGTGAACTTTATGAACGATCAAAAATTTGGTGGCGCAAATTTGGTCTCTAATTCTTGCTGGGGAAAAGCATTTGCACATTCCGACACGCACACCTACTGTACTGTGTCACCTAATGAATGTTGGAACAAGAGGAGGCAGTGTAGAAAACACAATGCGCTTAGCTGTCAAACACGGGGACAGAATATCATGTGGAGTGCTACTATTCAAGAGGAGCTCCTCTCAATCGTTCTTGTTCCAGAGGGCACAAGCCTTTGCACCCTTGCCTCAGTCCATGTGTCACACAGGATCTGATGAAGTGGCCCGCGTAGGGACCTTGCTCCCGGGGCGCTCTTTGATCTGCCTCCGAGAACAAAACACACTTGGGCGTGCCGGTAATGAAGGCCAAAGGCCCATCGTAAACTTCTGTAGCGCGCATGCCATCAATTATTCCATAGAGACTGCCTGTGAATCTGGATTGATTGACACACTCCAGAAGCTCCTGATTACCAGCACAGTCACCATGCGACCATCTGAACATCCGCGCCAGGATCATGCATGAAGCAACAGGCACTGAAAATAGATCAAGAGCTCTCCAACATTTAATTAATTATTCGATACACTGCAAACGCGTGGCAGATTGTGCTCTACCCGTGTAAGGCTTCAATGCCACGCAGCGTCCTCGTCCAGTGTTTTAGACATCCAACATGGCAGAGTGTTGCTCTAGGGCTGAATCAGCAGGTCATGCGATAAAGTAGTGGCATTGAAGCAGAAGGAAATAGAACGTGGCGCTAATTCTGGAGCAGAATGCTGGACTTAAATCGCCCTCAGGGGCTCTCTCACTTGCGTTAGTGACTGCAATGCATACAATCCTCTTCTTGAGCCTCAAGCAATAATCAAGTATCTCTTTGCTGACAATGGCATTGTCAACCACAAGTAAGAACACTGCAGTAGAAAACAAAAGAGCAGCCACCTCAATATGATCAACATGATATTAATATTATTAGTATAGTCCCATAACAGGTTGCTACCAGAGTGTGACACTGACAGTCATGCAACTAGCACAAATCAATTTGGTGAGATCAACTCAACAGCTTGTAGGAGTACATGTACTGCGGTCAGGTTTATACAGACAAACTAACTGTAATATCCATCTCCAAGCATCGCACCTCTGCTTGAATAGCACCATCTGCAAGAAAAATAGAAAAAAAGTTTAGATGCAAAACAATTACACATACCAAACCAGGCGTAGGGCATTCGGACAGCATATTATGAGGCAAGGTGGAGAGGAGCACTTTCAAAAGAAGAGTAATCGTGCCTAGCGTGCATCCTCCAAACTTGACTTATGATAATTATGTCACAAATTGTTCTACAACAATACGATAGGGCTCACTCTAAGCACGTGTGTTGTAGTCTGGGGTTTGTGAATTTTCAAATACTTACCGGGATAATCTGAGTGCAATTGGTTCGCAATTGACCAGAAGTAAAACTATGTTTTTAGGTGTTTGTTGATAATCGTCACCCGAATGACATCTGATAGAGGTGCTCGCCGAAGAGTTTCTATATGCAGTACATTGATGGAAGCTTGCTTACCGACAGCGACATTCCTATTATCTTGGGCGTAACCGTGTCGCTACGAAATTATGAGCACAGGAAAGTACTCATTGGGTGATGGTGTAGAAGAGCTAAAAGGATGCCCCTGCAGCCAGTCCGACACTTCACCATTGTCGTACTGTACAATCATGTAGATAGCACTTGCGACGCCCTGGTCTGGCACAAAGGAAGAGAAACTCAGGAAGCGTGACAGAAACGTTATCTCCTGAGGTAGACTGTACACAAAACGCACCGGTGCACTACACTATCATGTGCGTCGGAACCCGGACAACCAGCTCAACTATGCGTACATGATCAACGAAAGATGCATTGTCAGACTTGGCTAGGAGAACGGAACCCCCACCTCACTCTCTAGACTCGACTCATTGTATATGTACATGTACATGTACGTACACTGTTCACTGTTCACCGGTGATAGCTGTAAACAGGCATAGTCTGTGCGTACATACATTAGAGGTGTCACGTTCCTGTCATTGGAGATTGATTGCTCCAAAGTGCTCGCACTCTGCACAACCATCTACGCCACCTTTCCCGAGTCCCGCAGGAAAAAAAAGCATAGTCTGCAAATCTCATCCCTGGGCGGTTTGTGCCAGGACCTTCAAGGGTGTGTTTGGACTTCAGAGACGTTCTTTGGGATCATGTTCTCAAGCTTTCTTCTTCAGTGAAGTGCCGCGAATTGCCCCGGAACACGAGAGTCGAGAATTGGGTGTGAAAATGGAATTCATCTCTCTTGCACCCTCTCCTCACACTTATAGGGACTTGGCCGTGGGTGAGCACGTCAATCGTGTATACCACCTCTGGCACTATGTGTATGATCCCCTAGGTAAGATAGGTGGAGGCTTCACAAATTGCTAGCCGGTTTAGTGTTGAAATGGTATGGAGAGAATGCTGGGGCATGAGACCGTGTGTGTGTGTGTGTGTATGTGTGTGTGTGTGTGTTTGTGTGTGTGTGCGTGTATGTTTGTGTGTGTAGACTAGACTAACGTAAACTCGCCTCCCAGCCAGCCAGATGCCTTGAGATTTCACTTCTTAGGCTAATCCGTTTTTTATTTGTTCATTGTCTTGTTCCGTTTGTCATCAGCTATCATTGGCAAAGTCAAGAGTGTCTCTCCGCTACCGTCTGGCAAGATCTCCTACCAGATCAAGATCTTCAAACCTCTGAGAGTGACCACGTCCGACGTCCAAGTTCTCAATCAACTCAACAAGGGCTCAATTGTTCGTGTCACCGTCAAGGCCAAGAAGTCCACCGGCTGCGCATGTCCGCAGCTGAAGCGGCGGCGACGCTACATCCTGACCGGACGTATTGGCGACAGCCACGACCTGCGCATGCGCCAGGGAGATGCTGCAGTGCTGTACCAGGGACGGCGGCACAATCTGAGAAAGATCTTACCAAAGTGGCTGCGATACTGGATGGGTATCCATTAGGTATCACCTCCACTCTGTATCCATGGCAATCATGGCGAAAGAACACGCAACATGAAGATCGATTCTACTATTTATAGAGCTCATTGGTGCAATAATTTAAGGCGACAGCTTAACAATAACGACGAACTGGCCGCTAAAGCTTGTCAATTTCACGTTAAGGCAATTGTGTCGTGAGGTTGAATTTGAAGATGCCATTAAAACACGAATGTTTGGTCATTATGACTTGAGGGGATTGTTGACATTTTAAACGCGAACATTATTATTCTGAAGACGCATACACACTACAAACAGATCCATCAAGAGACTACTTTCCTCAACTATCGATTGAATTCTTCATTCATAATTCGTAAGCCCGCTTAAAACGTCCTTGTTCCGCTGATCTGTAACTTGACTTTTTAGTTTTCATGTGAATATAAAATTAATGGCATAAATGAGTCACGTGCATAGCACACGTTAATCACTTTCTGAAATTGCTTTATCTCTACTTCAACGAGGCATGGGACCAAATCTGCTCTAAGTCCTTTCCCTTGACCTTTTTCACTTCCCTTTCATCCCATCCACCCTTCCGGGAAACTCCCCTGATAAATATCCATTTACTTTGGGAGAATCCTTCAAATAAAGTCTGAACAAAAGAGATCTAGTACGTATTGGTGTCAACATGACGTCATAATATAAAGCTTGGCGCTAGCAACAACAGTACAGGTTTGCTGCCAACTTGGGGGATTTGGTGTGTTGGGCCTTGGGGATTTGATGGATCAGTCAGCCTGAACAACACGCGTGGCAATTTCTTGCATGAGACAAGACCCCCAAATGCTGTGTGGTCGCTTCACTAATAGTAACTGTTATACAAGGAACTTCTGACGTCAGGGTTTCGACCTGCTTTGACCTGAATGTTGTTGTTTCGTTCGTTTTATTTTTACTATAACATGCCCAGCTCGAAAATAATAATGAAAAACGATACTGAAAATCGGAAAAACGAGACAACTACTGAACAGGGGCGGCACCGAGCCGCAGCAGTGATGGTGGGGCATTGATGGCTCCGCCAAGGCGCCGACCTGAGGTTTCGGCATTGTGTGATGGGGTAGGTCCCTTTGCTCTTGTCCAGTGCGGGATGAGCGTTTTAAAAGTAAGAAGACTTGTCACCGTCTCTATTACTACTGGCCCTATGCGGAACGCATTCCGCTTGAAGTTGAAGTGAAGTTGTGCCACATGACTGTGCCAGACATTGAGCTCCAATCCTACATGAGTTGTATACAATCGTCATGTATGTAGAAGCAATACCTATTGTGAGCTAAAGCTGCCAGAGGGCATGAGCCATGAAGTTCTTAGCAACACTTACATGTACTTGTTGCGTCGGAGGATGTCGGCGAGACCCATTCTCTAGTACGAATCTATGACATCCATCATTCACCCCAGTGTCTGGAGATATGTGGATTTTGTAGAAAAAAATCCGCATTGCCGGAGAATATTAGTACTTCTATTCAACCGGTACACCGGTCAAGCACTACCCCATGGGTGGTCCCACCTTCCAACCCGCCAAATATTTAGATTTTGATAAAAACGATTCAAAGCCTCTGAATTATTTTTGTAATACTTCTAAATATAAGAATAAGAATAATTATAATATACTTTCACACAAAACAAGCTCGGTGGAGCACTAATCACGGGAGGGGAACCCGACCCTCCACCATCGCCAACTCACGAAGCATGTGAACTGGACGGTGACGGGCCGACCGAGCACCCCGGACACACAATACAGCGGAACGTAGTAGCGCGAAAGACACCGGACAGCGATAATATCCCATCAACGACAACCCCATGTGTGGTTGTTATCTCCCTCGGTCATGACGGCGCGTCACGAGCGGCAATTTGTACCAATTTTGAACGCACCTTTTTAAAGGTTCTCGTCAGACTTGGGCCCAGCTCGCGCACCAAACCGCAATGAAAGTGGTGCACTTCCTCTCGAGGGACTGACAACAAGAATGAACCTGGGACTTCACCAAACAAAGTAGGCCTTTCACCTCGATGTCCTGCGAAACTTGAAAGTACACAGATAGCTAATGCGATACGCCAGCGGACGTGAAGTGCGTGTTTCGCTTTGTCAGCCTGTCAGAAATCCGAGCCGTAGAATTCAGGGTGTGAAGTGTAGCGCTGTCTAAACGCTGAGCATGAACACGCCAGAACAAGAAGGTAAGATAACAAAACGAAATGGGCATAGACAAGTACCACTATTGTACATGCCACACATGCAACATCCACTCTTGTGATGACTTGATGTTGTTTTGTCTGGCAACAGAACACGAAATTCGAGATCCCAAACAGGAAGCACCCTTTGATCCATAATTATACAATATACAATATACATGTACATGTACATTCGTAGCGTACTTCTGCCTGGTTGTTTGAACAAGGCACCACCCCTAATCACTTCACTCTGATCTGTTCAGTTTTCGTGGAGACAGAAATGAAATCAACGCAATAAGCAAAGCAAGTTGCGCATTCAAAACACGTTCTTGTAAGTTGTATTATTTCACCTCACACAGCATTTTGAGTATTTATAATTATTGTGTTGCTCATTGAATTACCTTTGCCAGTAAATTCCTTCTGAAGAGATGGCAACGAAAACGTTCAAGTAAATCTAACCTGTGTCAACGGTGTGTGTTTTGAATGCGCAACATGATTTATTTATCGTGTTTGATATTATGAGCCCATTTCCCTCGTTTGATAATACACGTACCTTTGTGCCTGGTATACATGTACATGTACATGTACATGTACGTGTACGTGTGACACTTCAATGGCGATACGACCTCGTTCTACCCTTTTTTGTAGAGAAGGTCTGCATTTAAAAGCTTTTGAGGTGTTAACTTGCTTTTAGAAAAGCACTGTGAGAACACAGGACTAACTCCACTGTGCAGAGCAGTAGAGACAGAGGGAGAGTTGAAAACGTTGATGCGTTGTTTTTAAACTTAAAGCAGTTTTCAAAAGTATTCCTCTATAACATTGTGTACCGCGTTAACATCCATAATTATTATGATGTATGGCCCCACCTTTGGCTGCTAGATGCTAGCCCGGTGGCGGGTGCAGTGGAGTTCGTCGTCTGCCCACAGGTGCAGTATACAGTATACATTGTACACGGTATTATATAACCCAATACTAGTTCATGGACAAGTTAGATGTTACGTGCATGCGTGTGCATGTAGAGGTTGAGCTAACATGTACATGTCGGTAAACTAACTCAATCTGCCGACAGAACTGTTTCGTCCTTTGTGGACTCATCAGCGCAGCACAGAGAAAACGAGGCCGAACCTGATAGCAATGAAAAATAAAAATTTCCAAAGCCAGATTTTAAACCAGGCCCAAACGGTAAACTAACAAACACAAACCGACCCCTGAGCTGTAGACATGGAGGCTCTTTGTACCGGTAATAGTGACCGTAACGCCTAACAAAAGACGTTCGTAACTTCGTGAGCGTAACACGAGAGACCATCCTGAGGCACTCTGCAAGCCGACACTCCACAGTCCACCGCCACTCTGGTGAGATGATCTTCTCAAGTTTCCGCCAACATCATTGAGGAATGTGAAGGCACGATGTCAACACCTTATACAGCGTAACTTTGCTATCACACATTGCGAGTTTTATAACACTGAGCATCTGAAGTATACCAGTACACAGTCCAGCAGAGAACGTTATGTGAACACAGCGAGTAACGGGTTGTTGGTTCCATGCAGGAAGTGGTGTGAGGATTAACGCAAATACTTGATTTCCACCTTCGTCTCTTGGCTTTGAACAAGAGCCCAATGTACAATATTTTAGTAGTTCAGGACGACATTGCAATATTGCAGCAGAGTCTAGGTTAGGGGAATTATGCTGTCTTCATGAGCTGTCTAGAACCTATAGTGCACACAATGGCATGTACTTCGAAGTACACACACACACACACACACACACACACACACACACACTTGTACAAGAGTGTTTATATTGAGTACAATCATGTACTCGTATATTGATTTCGGGGAGACAACAAACACATTTTTCATGCGGTGCTGGAAACCAGTTTGAAATTGTGTGCGTTGATGTTGCAAGGCACGTAGCGAACTGGTGTCCCTGCCTTCGTTACAGCCCTCGGGGAGCTCTCTTGGTGTCGCCGTCGGGAGCTGTGGCGGAGGCGATGCCGCTTTATGTTCGAGTTTCATTGCTTTAAGGTCGCGTTCCATTTCCTCTCCTTGATCATCCACCAATAACATGAAGGCGAATATGGAAGGGAAGAGGCAAAGGAGGAGAGAAAAGGAACGCCAAGAATAGATAAAAAGCCACAACGTACAATCGCTGAGAGTCCAGAAAAGCTAAGGATTTTTGATAGGGGTGAAAGTTGGCACTGAGATCCCGAGTTCGAGTACTCTGATTTTCTCCGATCGAATATTCGAGTATTCGAGTATTTTTCATCTCCTAAAAATTGCACACCAAGGGCATTAAAATAACATGATACAACCCTGATTGAACCGAGTAGCAGTCATTTTTCTCGGGTGTATTGGTTGGTGGGTCATTTGGGCTCTCTCTACTCGTGAACAAATGTTCACCACACAGCCTGCACATCACCATCTGCCGACTGCTGCCCTGAAACTGCAGATTTCTGTAGTAAATACAAGTACCATGTATGAACGAGTACTCTGATTTATTCCGAGTACGATTAAAAAACCGAGCGAGTACTCGAGTACTCGGTATAATTGTTTCACCCCTAATTTTTGAACTGGATGTTGTAAGTTGTGTGTAAATGCCTGAAATGGAATTAGCGAATTCTTAGGTAACCTTTGTCCTGTATTCTCTCCGTTTTAGTTTGAGTTGCTACCCTTTTTCTTTCCACAAGTGAGCCACAGGCCACCATGATGCAAATGCCTGCAGGATACCACCGGAAGCCCAAAGGGAATGGTAGCTAAGGTAGTGGAGGCCGGGTAGGAGCAGTTAAGCCGACCAAGAGTCTCCAGATCAATACATGTACTGCTCATCATCATTTGCGCCGAACAGGAACACCAGCGAATAATGAGACATAAAGGTGACAGCACAGTCAACCAATGCTGGTACACCGGGGAGTCATCAAATACACTTTACCTGGAGTGCACGAGTAAATACTGGCAGTCTTGATTATGCACGCTGTTACATTGGTAGATCTTTAGGCATAACTCATACAATGTTGTCCTTCCTTTTATTTGAAAAACCCTACTCAAGAGAGAGAGAGAGAGAGAGAGAGAGAGAGAGAGAGAGAGAGAGAGAGAGAGAGAGAGAGAGAGAGATTGGAAGATGTGTCGCAACTCCGAGTTTCACCTATTCACGAGCATCGGGCTATAGAAACTCTACCAATTTTTAAAAGGTACTTATCCAATCTAGGCACCGCTAGTCATTTCGCCATTGCTAGGTCTCGTTAGTGGAGCTCAGAGCTAGAGCCAATGGCTTAACTGACCACAGTGAAGTCTATAACAGAGAATTTCTAAAAGGCTCAGAGTCAAAGCATGAAAGTCAAATTGCTCCAAGAGCGGGCTCCGCACGAGGGTAGGTATCTTTGACCATAGCAGGAAAGAGTTCTCAGCGCAGCCGAGGTGAGGAAGAATATCACTCAATACGTCTTGGGATAGTTAGCTGTCGATCTGGTTAGATTATCTGTTACGACCGTAAAATTCCTTCTGACGGGATGGCAATGAACACGTTCAAGGATACCTAACCCATGCGATCGGTGGGTGTATGTGTATGTGCGCGAGTGTGTGTGAGAGAGTTGCATGACATTGTGCACCTCGCTTTATCTATTGCGTTTTAACGCAATAGATGAAGTGAGGTGTAAAAGGTACATTACAACTTAGTCACTTATCTAAATATAATTATAGCCGTTTTTAGAAGGCTTCCGTACCATCACTGCCTCCACGCTTGACCACACGTCCACAGTTCCATCTCCTGCAGCACAACAGGTAGCTACCTCGCTTCCCGATCGGCCGTGGGATGTGTTGCCAGAAACATCGATCCGTGAGCGCGTGAGGCTTGCACTCAGTTCGAAAACATATTCTGCGGCACTCATGTTTGTTTGATATTACGTGTTTTTCGTATAGTTTGGAAGGTAGTAGCCAATGGTGGGTTTATCGATTCGCCACTCACCTCTAAGGAGCTTCTACGTTTGTCACAAGCCTTTTTTCAGCAATTTCGGTACCTCAGGACATTATACGAGTTAGTGCGCGTAAACGTTTGCTTCGCATTACCCCTAGCGAGATTTTGCACGCACTGTGGTTGATGTCACGGCACATCTTACGTTCGTGAGCCAGGTGTTGGAGATTCAATTAGGATTGGACAGATCGCGCATGCGGAGCGCAAGAGGACGCAATCCGGCATTGAGCTAAGAATCAGCGAACGTTTAAGGAGCGGTGTGCTGGAGGAGCGTGGACTACCGTATACATGTATTCGTACGAATTCAAACCCGGCATTGTGGTTCATGAAGTTGCAGCAATGACTGGAGAGAGGCGGACAATGCTGCTAACGTGCCGCGGTCTTCGTCTCGTATGCGTATTCCTCTGGTTGGCGCTTCAATGCGTTGATGTCGGTGCAGAAAACATGAACGGAGACATCAATACGGTGTATGAGAGAATGGTATCGTACGACAGTGCGGACACGTTCACTTTTACCTGGACGCCACAGTACACGGCAAACAGCACCGGAAATGCTGCTGCCATGGTCACTCCAAGGCCTATGCGCATTCACGTCGCCAGTGATAATGCCAGTGCTGGAAATCACGTGTCAGTGCAAGTTCGTTCACATAATGCGGCGAGCGAAATATCCTGGTCAGTGCCTTTCAGCGCTGAAGGTCTCGGCTCCACTACGTCCAGCACTAGCTCACGTATCATTTGCCTGAACCTCAGCGAGGCTACCCTGAACACCGACAACACAACAAAGACGTCTCCTAGCTACAATCACACTCTCATCGTTGACGTCTCAGCGCTATCCAGGGAACCGCTGGGATACACGCTTATCGCTTCGCCGGTGGAAGATTTCAGTCTGGTTGCAGACCAGAAGCATGAGACTAGACTGACTCCAACCGCTCCAGTGTACTACCAGTACATGTTTCAGCCGGGAGATCAACAGATAACAGTTGGCATAGAATCTAACGAGATGGAGTGCGGAATAGCATCCGTCCAAGATGCGCTCTGTCCAGTGTACGACCTGGCTCGAGATATCCAATACTCCGGGGCGTATCAAACCTTCAGCTCCTCATCAACACTGCTCGTGCAGCGGAGCGACTTTCCTGGAGACTCGTTCTACGTTGTGCTACTGGGTTTGAGCACGGACAGGCAGTGCAGCTCTCGCAATCGTGAGCAGTTCGAAGCTGGCAATGGCCACAATGCACCATTCTACAACCATTCCGTTTCGATTCAGATCTCTAAGATTTCCGACGATTATCGCGCGCCAGTTGCCCTTTCAATCGTCTTCTGTGGCTGTTTCTACATTTCCATTTTGGCATCTCTTGTAATCTTCTATTACATGCATAAGGAGGAGCTCGGTGATGCCTCCCTCATGGAGTTCATCCTAGGATCAGTAGACCTCTTTCCTGAACTTGCGACAACACAAGCTGACACCAGTATGATCCTGACCAACTCTGGGGTTACGTCGAGGGGGCGCCGCCGGACAGTTGCGTCGAGCCGCAGCGAAGTCTCCATCTATTACGAGGCCCACGACGGGAGTGACGTTGGCACTGAAGCGGGACAGCCAGGCGGGGAGCCGCTCAGAGATCAGGACATTAGTGAGGCTAACGAGGCTGACACGCAGCCGACTACTACTGCGGATGACACAAGGGGGCAAGATCTCAACGATTCTCCATTGGCATCACCCAGCAGCAGCACGGAGACCAACGAGATTCTTGAGCCACCGTGCTGTTGTCCGGCCTTTGACTCAACGGGGAAGCGTTTCAGCTTGGCTGATGTGGAGAAACCACCGTCCGGAGTGCTAGACAAACGACTCCACACATCTCCATGGATTGTGGGCATAGTTGGTGTGTTCTACGGTGTCCCCGTCGTTCAGCTGGTCTACAACCACCAACGAACTCTGTTTGCCACGGGTAACCAGGATCTGTGCTATTTCAACTTTCGCTGCAACCGACGTTACGGTCAGCTGACCTCTTTCAACGCCGTTTTCAGTAACGTAGGCTATGTGATGCTGGGCGTACTGTTCATACTTTTGACCATGCGCCGTCAACGGATGTTCTCGCGCACGATGGCCCGCGACCCGCTGCAGTTCACCCGGACGGGCATTGTGCCTGTGTTCGGCTTGCTCTTTGCTCTCGGCTTGGCCCTGTGCATGGAGGGAGTGCTGAGCGCATGCTACCACGTCTGCCCGACGCCCATCAACTTCCAGTTCGACACAACGTTTATGTACTTCATAGTGGTACTCTCCTTGTTGTACCTATACCAGAGTCGAAACCCGGACGCCGTCACAAGAGCGGACAAGGTGGCGATGTTCGTTGCTCACGTTGTGCTCATCGTGGTCTTTGGCATTCTTGGCAACAGCCTGCCTTTCTGGTGCGTATTCTTTGCTCTGTATATGGTCGGGAATGTGTGGGCTCACCTACGACTATACTTTGGCAACTTCGCCCGGTTTAGGGCGCGAGTTGTTGATATGCAGCGTGCGCGAGCCATCTTGCCCATATCGTACCCTCGCCACTTCATTTTGGTTATCCTGTCGTTCTGCCTGAACTTGGGACTTGCACTGTATGGCCTGTCGGTCAGACCAGGCGACTTCCCCTCCTACCTTCTAAACGTATTCGTTGCGAATCTCATTTTCTATCTCCTGTTCTATATTGTGATGAAAGTTTCCCATCATGAGCGCTTCCGGCTGGCTACGAAAGTGTGCACGGTTCTTTTCCTGGCCTTTGGAATTCCAGCCATGTTCTTCTTCACGAGCAACGTCACAAACTGGGAACACAGTCCTTCTGGTTCGCGAGCACTAAACGAGGATTGCCTGCTGATGGGTTTTTACGACAACCACGCCCTTTGGCATTTCTTGTCTGCCGCTGCCCTTTTCTTCTATTTCGTCGCCTTGACGACAATGGATGATCCTCTTCTGCACGTTCCTAGATCCAAGATTTTGTCCTGGTGAAATGCTCACGTCGCCATAGGTACCTTCATGTTGCTATCCGGGAACTCCCCTTTGATAACATGTGGCATGCTTGCGTAGAGAGGTACGTGTATACGGAGTGTTTGTTGTTTTAGTTTTAGGCATGCACTGTGGTGTGATCCAGTGCGGAGTATCTACATAAGATGGTTTAGCATTAGCACCTGCATCTACATTCTCTATGCTCGTATGCTGTAAGGATAGCGCAACGTTGTCTGACATGTTCAGAGTTCTTCATTAATGATAAGCCTGTGTAAGCGTTATAGTTGTCATAATATCGGACACACCTACATGTATATTGTCCACCCCGCGGAGTTGAGCACCGCCAGCACACTGGGTACATCCTCCGGTGTATCTTGTCCATGTATTTCGGTTCAACTGGCTTGACTGCTGCATGCACATGCTTGGGTCCAACCATAATGTATCCGCGTGTTTTTTTCCACAATTTGCTACCCGTTTCCGTACCGTTGCAGCTTCTTGAAGTAAGTAGGGATTTATTTACACATACTACCGTACAATGTATTCTGCTGCCACCATTACATCACTGGAGATACACTTATGTGCCCTCAAATGGCCCTGTTACCTTGGAAACTTAGCTGGCCGGCATGTGTAATGTATCAAGTCAGCACGTGAACATTACGTCATCAGTACGTAATAGCTGACACGAAGTCGTCATGTATAAATTTACTTCAACCATGCATGCCTATGGCCAAGGTCTAGCCTCATAGAACAAAGTCCATGTCCCAGCCACTGACCAGCAGGCTTGTGAATTGGAAAAGGTATTCTACTGGCTGTACAGTAAAACCTGTCAAGGCGACCACTCGGATACGGCGACCACCTGTCCCAGAAGGCCACTGGAACCAGGACCAAGGAATGCTCTTTCCAGTCCAATGACCCTGGATAAGGAGACCACCTGGTAACAGAGATCAGATTCCGAAGGTCCCTTGAGCGGTCGTCTTAGACAGGTTTCACTGTACCTCAAACATTTGCTTTGTGTGAGTAGCGAAGAACAGCACAGCCCAACATAGTGCAAGCACTTTTTTTCTTTCTTTTTTACAAGATAGCCACAAACCATCATGGTGCAAACGCCAGCAAGAAATAGCAGGGAAGCAGAGGCACCGTCACAGCAAACACTATAGTTACCAGGATGAAAGGGTATCAACTGACACTCTCAGAAAGATGGACCACACACTCACCCGTGCAGCTCCCCCCCCCCACACACACACACGTACCGGATCTGTGCTTCTGTTTAGCCGAGACAAATGTATAAATAAGAAGCAAAATATCATGTACTTCATGCCCCGTACATTTCACCATACTGCTTAGGACATGAAAATTTTGGGTTACTGATAGTGCCAATGTTGATCTATTGTCGACTCGCACTCGTTGCGTGTATATACGAATATGTGTGTGAGTTGCCAGGGTATGCTGGCTCCACACCGTTGAGTAGGTACAGCGGTGCACCGCTTTTGTCCACGGCCACTGCGGGCCGCTCTCGTCTGCTTAGCGTCTCGGCCGTCCCATCCTGGAATTGTATGGTGGAGGAGTAGGCCGGTTCCGGCTGCCACGTCCAGTGAAGCAGGTCGCTGGAGTGAGCCGCCTGTCCGTCCGTCCACCTCTTGTCACCACCGTAGCCGTGAAAGAGCACATGCCACGTACCCCTGGCGTCCTGGTACAGGAATGGATCCTCTCCACCCTTTTCCAGCGTGTTGTTAAACATTCCTGCAGCACATTACCAAACATCAAGTTTAGATCGAACGTAGAGAATCTTTTACAGCGTGTGTGCATTGAAAATGAACAAACACAGAAACTGCCTGCCATTCGCATCCATGTACCTTTTTTTAAGTAGATGAGGGAGTATGCTCGGACTGCTCAGCCAAGTCTAGTGATAAGTGTTCCAAGCTGAAGTGATGTGAAGTACAATGTAGTACAGTGCAGTAAAGATGTAGCTGAAGAGCAGGCGATAGAGAGTGTATTAAAAGCACGATTAAAGACGACTCATAGCTCCCGGCTGTAATGCATCTTGCAGTCATTGGGGAATTGATTTTCGGAAGCGTGGGTTTGTATCTCCTCATTCAGTGGTTTGACGGCAAACTTGAAAACCTGAAAAGAACAACACGACAAAATTCCATAACCATAGTACATGACTGTATCCCATTTCCTTACCGTCAGGATTGATCAGTGAATAATTCTTTTCTCCTGTTGCAGTGGTCAGATAGAGACGTGTGTACGGACCCTTCCAGTGAGGTGCCACCGCAATGCCCAAATTCGGCGCACGCGAGTACGCCATTATCACCGTGCCGTTGGCCAGCGGCCAGGCGACCGGGTTAGAGAGATGCAGTGACTCGATGCCATCGTCGAAGAACGCCGCGCCGTCCTCCAGCAGCTTGGTCCAGGGTCCGTCCAAACTGTCGGCGTACGCCAAGTTCACCGTCTCCGTCAGGTGTTCGCAGTGACTGCCAAAGTAATGGTGCTCACACTGACAGTGGCCCTTCACACAGCTCGAGCCGCGGGACACTCCACGCAGATGCTCCGACGGCGAGAGAACGCCCGTGTTTGCCGTGAACTTGCAATCACCGTCGGACTTGCAGTCGCCGCCGCCATGCCAGTAGTCACCTTCCCAGAAGCCGCTCGTCGACGGGCAGGTTGAGTTCTGGTGGCACGTATGCAGGTTGAAGTCGTCCTCTGGCCAGTGGCGACCATTGAAGTAGAGTAGCCAAGTTCCATCCGATGCTCGTGTCAGGTGTGGATTGTGGTGAAAAGATGAGAACACCTGGACCAGTGAGATTGAGATAAGAGCACACAGGAATTGATCACCTGTTGACAGCATTGAACGATAGAGCTTAGTCTCGTTGTATAGGCTACGGCCTATTGGTGACGCCCCCCCCCCCTTCTCTCTCTCTCTTTTTGCAGTCATGGTAGTTGTGTCTATGTGCTACTTCCAGCCAATGTAACCCTTCCTCACCCTACATCCTAAGGCTTGTCGCACCCACTTGCCAGCAAACAAGTAGCCCTAATTTTACGTAGTGGTCTTCTTTCTGATATGCTTTCTCTCTCCCTCTCTCTCTCTCTCTCTCTCTCTCTCTCTCTCTCTCTCTCTCTCTCTCTCTCTCTCACACACACACACACACGCACACACACACACACACACACGCACACACACCATGTACCATGTACCATGTATACGCCCGTCGCAAGAGAAGCACGCAAATCTGCAAATGCACTGGATGTGCACCCACAGATTTTCTCTTATAGCAACGATAGCGAACAAGATCTGAATGAGACAGATCAAGACTTGCGCCAGATAACTGTCCAATCCACACAACTGGCGAAGCCATGTGAATCAACCACCAATGCACACCTGGTCTACACCACACGGAGCACATCGGTATAAAACGGCCAAGACAGTTATCTATGCACACCCTACACTTGCTGACACACACACACACACACACACCTGTACTTCTACTTCTACTTGCTCACTGCCAAAACTGGTCACGTGGGTCTCCCCAGGAGAGGGGAGAGAGACTCAAAAGGAATCTTGGAAAGATGACTCAAATGGCTATTGAACCACCCAACGGCCGACACCCCTGAAATCCCCAAACTAGGGTGGACTTGAAATAATCCCACTTATGGGCTCACCACACCTCAGTAAGTGGGTGAGGACAAGGTGCAGAAAAAGGATTGACGGCATCAGGGTATCCGTCCCGGGATCCAACCGCAGTTACCCCTGCCCCCAGTGAAGGTAATACATGTACTTGGTACTAGTGTGGGTGGCTAAATCAGAGACACACACACAAACACACACACACACCGTGTACATATCTCCACCCCTTTCTCTCTCCCCCCCCCCCCCCACACACACCCACCTTCGCAGTATGTACGTCCCCAAGCATGCTACACTACTTCCTATACATACCATTGTCAGTATTATGCACATCCGTCAAGACTGTGACTATGAACCCTTTGATGGGCGACCAGCCTGTGGGTCATCCTAAAAATAAGAATTCATCGTAGAACGATAGCGAACAAATAATTTAATTGCGCTACATAAATTCATTGATTGCAGTGACTCTGTCTCAGTGGGTGAAGTCATGCTGGGAGCTTCCACCGCCAAACCTACCTGGTTTTCCCATTCATACGGTCCTTCGACTCCCTTGTTTGACGTTGCATGGACGATTCTCGATCCGGGCAGCCATGTGCCCAGTCCACAGCCTGGCACCATTTGCGACACGAATATGTGGAAGGTGACATTCGTCCCCGACTTGGTGAAGGACGAATAGCCGAGTTCATCCTTGTCCGTGCGCGGAGCGGTGATGCACCAGCTCGAGTTTGAGCTGTTGTGCGAGTTCCACGCTGCTCCGCTCGCACGATTGGCCTGCGGCGACAAATCCAGCCGACCACAGCTCTCGCCCGTCCAGCCGGGGTCGCATTTGCACTTGCCATCGACGCACTCTCCGGCGGCACTGCAATCTTCCAGCGTCGAACAGGTCGTAACATTGGTGTCGCCCTCCGACCACACAGTGACGATGCCACCAATGGAGAGAAGAGTAAGGAACACTTCAACACTCCACCGTGTGCCCATTTTCAGTGGTTACAATGAAGGATCACGGCGTGAGTGGGACAGAGAGAGGGAGAGAAAGACAAATCGTAGATCTACGCCCCGACGTCTTCTCGAGATTGGAGCTGGAATAGTTTTCAGCTTTCGAGATCAGCTGAGCTACTCCAAACGAGCCGGTAGTCCCCCCCCCCCCCCCCCCCACACACACACACAGTAGTAGTAGTACAGTGTTGGCAACTGAAATCCGACCCCCCCCCCCTAGCGGTGCGCTAGCCGCGTTAGCGATTCGTAGTAGACGCTAGGGGGTCGGATTTCAGTTGCCAGCATTGTCGTAGAGTACACACGTACACGTCTAAACGCACAGGCACTCACGTGACACTATCTCTGGAGTGGAGTTGCACTTGCAGTGCCGGTCACATACATGTTAGATTGACAGCATGATTGTACAAAGATCAAGTGTGATAAGCAAGAGGAATGCATACCCATTGGCATTGGCAATGACTATGTACAGTCGACTCCACTTATAACGAACTCGCATTATAGCAAATTTCGTGATACAATGTTCATGTATAGCGAACCATTGTACATGTTTGAACTCATACAAAATTGACCCTGTTTTCGTTCACCACGAACAATTTCTTGTAAGGCCACATGATAACCAAGTGCAGTCATACAGTAGTCATGAGCCACATACCAGTCATGACTTGTGCTTGTTTGATATTAGTGCATTTCTGTTATAACGAACTTCAGCTATAAAGAACTAATTCTCCTGCACAATGGTGTTCGTTCTATCAGGAGTCGACTGTACATATAGATCTAGACTGCACGTGCTAGCACAGTAGAGTACAATGTACATGTATAAAGCATTGTAGTCATCCTGTATTGCCCAGGCAGCTCGATTTGCCGTTTTATCCAATCTCCACTGTATCTCCCCTTGGTAGGGCATCTCACGATCTCACTATACCAGCAACACACAGCGTAATTATGCATCTCACCAAATCATTTTTTAGTCGAAAAACTATTTTCAAATTAAATTCTTAAAACAGTCTCTACTGCGAAGTTTACTTACTTAGGAGACTCCCTTCGATAGGCATCTATTTGCCTCTGGAGGATCCGTGAAATAAAAATCAATCAATCAAATTATGCCATACTGCAATCATCGATCAGGATGAGCATATTGCATTTGTTTTTTACTTGGAAAACAGCCACGCACCTAATTCGTAAAAAAGGGAAAAAGGTCATGACAAAAGCTAACAGTACATGTACACGCGGACTGAATAGGGATTACATTGCCGCATTCGGCATACATGTAGGAGCAGGGATATTCATGAAATGGAACGTTATGATTGATGGCTCCAATAAACCTTTTATGAAATACGGCTCTGCGGGATTTTTTAATCGTACAAAGGTATCAAGTCTGGGTCAGGGGCAATAATGAAGGAACAGTAACTTCAATATCTCGGAAATGATCACTTTGGTGCAGTGTACGTATGCATGTTGAGAGGTGTGCAATGCTAAGACCGAATGCTGGCAGCAATACAAAATATGCAGTGCTTTGTGTGTGTGTGTGCGTGTGTGTGTGTGTGCGCGCACGTGTGTGCGTGTGTGTGTGTGTGTGTGTGTGTGTATGCGCGCGCACGTGCGTGTGTGCGTGCATGTGTGTGTGCCTGTGCACATGTGTGTACGTATGTGTGCGTGTGCGCGAGCGCTCGTATGTGCCTGTAGAGATATAATCTGTATGCGTGACTGGTACATGGGCTGGTGGACAAGTCACAGGTGCTACCACAGTGATGACCAGCAACATGCCAGAAGGAAATACAACAAGCCGCTAAGATGATATCCAATAAGAATCCAATAAAATGATCATAAATCTGAGAACATTATCCGTAGAACTTCAGAACGGTACGTCATAAGCCGGCGAAATGAACGCGCCGTCAATCACAAGGCAAAATGAGTATTGACTGATTGGTCACACGCGTAGTCAATGGCAAGCGGCATGAGGTTGTAGATCCACTGGGGCTCACCTGACACGTCCGCACAGCCTCGCAAGTGCATGATTACGCTGAAGATCTGTGTGGCCTTGCACTGCCCGTGTCCATTCTCACATCTCTCGGCCAGCGGCACAGCCTGGAAGGCAACACGGATGAGAAAAGAACGGTTTAGAAATGTGCATGATCGTACAGATGGGTGTAGTGGAACAGACTTTGCAACTGCGAGTGCCAGTCAGTACAGACACCCACATATGCATGAATACACACACACACACACACACACACACACACAGCCGCACACACACACAGCCGCACACACACACACACACACACACACACACACACACACACACACACACACATACACACACACACACACACACACACACACATACACACACACACACACACACACACACTTGTACTTTTACATACTCACTGCCAAAATTGGTCACGCGGGTCTCCCCGGGAGAGGGGAGAGAGACTCAAAAGGAATATCGGAAAGATGACTCAATTGGCTATTGAACCGCCCAACAGCCGACACACACCCTAACAAACCATTTTGACCTTTAGACGCCCATTGCCGGAGGCGATGATAGCGATGCTACAGCAGAAGCCATAGCAACGTGTGCTGGGATTGCACCATTCAACAGCTTGCGAGGCTGAAGAATTGACCACCACTATTCAGCCACATAGCTATTTGAAGTGGCTTTTCTGGCCAATGAATCCCTAACACTAACGCGCATGCACGCACGCACGCACACACACACACACACACACACACACACACACACACACACACACACACACATACACATACACAAGCACTCACACAATCATGGGCGCTCACAAAAACGTTCACTCCGAACGTGGGTCTACACATACGGGTGTACAAGGGTCTCACCTGCCACACAGCTTGCGGCGATCGTGTCTCCTGGAAGGTGCATTGCCATTGGAAAGGGCAGTCTTCACGAACCACCGTGTGATTGTCATTCATGAACGTCGGTGGATGAAACTGCTCTTGCTCCGGTGTGCATTTGCTGACCGGTGAACCGGATGCTTCTACGTCTGTGCTGTCGCTATGATAAACCTGAATTTTAGCACAGACACACAGACGGACACCGCATACAGACGGACACCGCATACAGACGGACATTGCATACAGACAGACACGCAAACAGAGAGAGAAATAAGTACACAGACATGAAGACTCACAGGCACAGCGCACCCACGTGACACAGGACATCGGAAAGGAGTACATGTGAGTGGTCGTCAACTCCCCGACGCGCACTTCCACTACCACTGGCCGTAAAACATGTGGGTGTTAAAGGGGAAGTTAAGGCAAAAATTAAAATTTCACCAGTTGTAGTCTTCGGGGTGCTGAGTCGAATGGTCTTGGTCCGAGGAAGCTGAGACGCTCCCTTCCTACTTGAATCCCAATCGAACTCGCGCACTTCCACCGAAACTGGGTGACTGCGCCCTACTAGATGGGGATTTGTATGCAAAATGTCACTAAAAGCGCCGTTTCGTTCTTATAAAAGCACGGATGACCGCGATTGGCCCATATGTTGTAGTCTTTTGGACGCTGAGTCGACTGGTTTTGGTCCGAAAAGGCTGCGATGCAGCGTTCCTCCTTTATTCCCAATCGAACATGGTTGAAGAAGCGGTCACGTGGTCCTGGGTGCCCAAATCACCTGGGCACCACGCCAGCAGGTGACAACTTTCACACGAAGGTTCAACTCGAGTTCAACTCGAGTGACAGGACTGCACCCAAAAAAGGTCAAACAGGCTAGTAAGTTGTACCCTGCAGGCACGGTGACCAGGTGACTGGTGTACGCAGGAGCACGTGACCGCTTCTTCAACCATGTTCGATTGGGAATAAAGGAGGAACGCCGCATCGCAGCCTTTTCGGACCAAAACCAGTCGACTCAGCGTCCAAAAGACTACAACATATGGGCCAATCGCGGTCATCCGTGCTTTTATAAGAACGAAATGGCGCTTTTAGTGACATTTTGCATACAAATCCCCATCTAGTAGGGCGCAGTCACCCAGTTTCGGTGGAAGTGCGCGAGTTCGATTGGGATTCAAGTAGGAAGGGAGCGTCTCAGCTTCCTCGGACCACGACCATTCGACTCAGCACCCCGAAGACTACAACTGGTGAAATTTTAATTTTTGCCTTAACTTCCCCTTTAACAATAATGGGGATGGGACTCCCACTCCTGATTTGTCTCAAGACCCAGGATTCCTACTTGCCGATGAGTGACTGAGGGTACGTTGGCAACACCTAGAACAGAATTCACCAGAACAGCGCATTTGCTTGGGACTGCACCTGTTCTGGGTCGGCCAGAAGATCTGCTCACTCCGGCCTCGAGGCTGGAGCAGACCGAGCGGTTTCATTTTTTCACAGTGAAACCTGGCGGGAACAACAATTTTGGTCCCAAATGATCACATGCACACGCTTTCGGGTTGCACTTGGCATGCAGTCTTTGTACCATACTAAGCGACAATAGTGACTCGTACGCAGTTTGGAGAATGAAACCAAGTTTGACACACTTTTCACATACCGTAGTAACGCACATACACCGGTAGTAACGCACGTATAGGCGCATGTGCCCGTATTCGGATATAAGCGCACTCTCACTGATAAGCACATGCTCTCATAGGCGAAGCACTACCAAAATTCTCACTTTGACACAATCCCGGATAAAAGTCAGCAAGCAGCATACAGGAACCCTGAAACTGACACTACAAGACCTAGTCAAACACAAAGACTCTGGCAAACGAACTCTGATCATGCATGCGCGTTTAGGTGAAAACATTTCATTTTTGAAAATTGGATCCGTAGCAAAAAAATCACGTATAAGCGCATGTGCCTATATGTGCGTTAGTACGGTACTATGGTAAACATGCTTTGTTTCTGGAGGACCACCCGGTAGCCATGAGGCTACTCCACACGCACCAGTTGTTCGTTCAATACTGTTCTAGATCGTGCCAACCAAACATGCCCCTAACACTCCCTATCTTCAATCAATGGAGTGGGTTGAACTGGGTTCTAACAATGAGTGATAATCCCACTAGTGACCGAGTAGACCTGCGGGACGTAAGTTGCAATATACATGGCGATAATTCCCATAGCCCACTGCACGACAAACCATAAGGCTCTCATGGATGATATTCACACAATTGGACTGACACCCAATATGTTTGTATGTACATTATACGCCTATACCACCCCCCACCCCACACACACACACAACGTGCGGAGACACACACACACACACACACACACACGCACACACGCACACACACACACGCACACACACACACACACACACACACACACACACACACACACACATGCAGATGCACGTCACGACTCCTACCTTGAGATGTGTCTTATGAGCACCAGTGCAGTGTTTGGCGTTGACTTCTTGCATTTCTTCTGTCAGCTGCAGGTCAAGACTTTCCGGAATATCTGATGCCGCCATCACCGTAATCTGAATACAGACAAGGTAGAGATCAACAGAGAATATTAAAACAGTGCTAGGGGCCTACGACCCTGGTTTTTGGTAGGCTGATCACAGTCTCAGGGTTCTAACAGTTAGCCAAAGGGGGTGAGGAGGTGCAGCGCCCCCCCCCCCCCCCACCCCCCCCCAAAAACAAAACTCTGATAGCGCATCCTACTCGTTTAGTTTCATTATTTTTTGTGTTTTGTTGCAGTTCACACAACTAGATTGTTACGGGTGCTCGCTGCGCCCGTACGTTGCACGTTGTGTGACAAGGCAATAGTGGAACATGGAAAAATGGGTGACTGCTTGTTTCCCTGCCGGGTAGACCTGTTCGGAACGGGGGACGACCAAGTAGGAGAAATGCTCAGCAGGATGCAAGTTCACGTTATTATGTATCCACAAAGGTACTTTCCCTTGCTCGCCAGAGCAGCTGCATCCACCAAGAGGAAGAGCACTCGCCTTTCAACTGCAACGCTAGCCGGGCAGCGGTTAGGGTCCAGCGGATAATGCTCCGAAAATGTTCGTATAATGCTAATCATAATGCTCCAAAAACTACCCTGTAATGCTGATTATAATGCTTCAACAAGGGCTATAATGCTCTTGGTTTGGAACAAAAATGGAAGAAAGGCTGCACATTGTCAAACTTCCAGGAAAGGATGCATTTAGCCGATCTGCCTCTGAAGCTGCTACAATATCCCTCACGAGCTCCACCACTTCTTAGCACATGATCGCGTCTCCATAGGCTGCTCTCCATTGCAACTTTGATGCAGGGCTGTGGCTGAATACTGGGTGTATCAAGTCTTTTTCCTTGCTTATCCATGTAATGAGAGGTGAAACCATTATTGCGGGTGATCATTTGGATGCTGGAAGCCTATCATGGGAAGTGGTATTCCTGCCTGCAGACAAGCTGTCACTGCTTCCACTCTGTGAAAAATGTCTTTATCTGAAACAGCTCACGTGAGGCCAGTTCCTGAGAGACGATCTCAGATCGAGATCCCTCCCATTTGCGGAAATCCTGAAAACACGTGGTCAGAAGGTATTTTGCCGCTCTACATCCTCTGCTTGCGCTGTCTTCTGATCCTGCGGTTCCGTGGAGACAAATGGTTGGCCATAATACTCTTCTTTTCTGATAGCACTTGATTGTAGGCCTTGCATTACAATCGTTCACGACGAACTGTATGTGCTTCACCAGGAAAGTAAGACACGCGCTCCTGAGCACTCAAATCGACTTATTACAGCGTCCATGAGAAATCCTAGTTCTTTTCGAGCCTGCCGAGCTGGACTCGGCAAAGGCAGTTGTTTGGAACAAGTTCTTTCTGTTTATAGCCGCTCCTTCATCCAGGTCCAAATTTATCAATGGATCAGTGTTTACTTCAGTATCGCTAGAGATGCTTTGGCCAGAGCCTATGGCATAAAAGGAAAACTCCGCTTCGTCTGTTTGATATTCACTTCGCGTACGTCTAGTCTCCTCCATGGCTCTCCATGATTTCTAAAAAAGGAACTCCTCGTAAACCATCGTTACGGATTCTGTGTAACAGCCTCAGTTGCAATTTGGGCATGCTACATCGCCTGTACATTTACCTGACCACATTGCTACATAAAGACTTCATGTAGCAATGACATTACATGTATGTAGTCAGGTAAATGTAGCATTGGTGCTAAAGATGTTACGTGTCTACACAATCACAAAGTCATGTGCCGGTACAATACAACGGCGTTGCACCTCATGACTTTAGCCGATTGTTGTCAAAAACCTGATATTTTCCGACATTATCCACTAAGAAACTCGTTATGCCGCTCAAACCTCACATAATGCTCATCTTGTTCCTTTCTAATGCTCCATAATGCTCTGACGCTCGGATACTCTCATAATGCCGAATATAATGCTGGCATTATCCACTGGACCCTAGCAGCGGTCGCAAAAGAATCAATGAATTTTGTAATGAACGACAACCGCTAGACTGCGCATTGCAATGTTCGCTGTCGTCTCACCTGTAAGTGTAAGCAACACCATAGCGCCCCAAACGCTAGACGTCCATGACCACCAGCCATACTGCTTTACGCAGGCGTAGGAACGCTTGGACCTGGAGCAATACTCTAACTGCGAAATTTCGGAAAGAAGACAAAATACTAAAAATAATAGAAATGAGAAATCACTGCTTCTGATCTGATATGAATGAGTGAATGACAGCTCTGATGCAGTGGTTGCGACTGTCTGTAAACTAATAAAAGATGCAGGCGAAGAGCGGGAAGTCCCGAGTTATATTCTCGCCTGTTCTCAAGTGATGTCATCTTTCCCGCGTGGCACTTGTGCTAATGGAATTTGTGCTAAGTAGCCGGTAGATCTCTACTACGTACTAGGTCACTACAATGTCATGCAGGTGTGATGTCGGTAGGTTAGAATGTCGTCCGTCTGCGGGAGATGGGAGGTCGAGGGTCGACAGGAGATGCTTGCATGGGGGCACTGCACTGAGACCTAGCCTGCAGAGTCAGTGCAGACCCGGGCAGATCAGCCATAGCAGTACACAGTACCATGGTACAGGTCAGTACAAGTCCAGGCCGAAGGTCTATGAGTCTGTACGAGTCGACGACGGCTACCATGCTACGGACCGCAGACTAGCAACTAGTGTAGACCTGGTAGACTAGATCTGCACTGCAGTCTAGTGAAGACTAGTGCACGCAGGACATGTTACATTGTACGTGACTCGGTGTCGGCAATCCGGTGATGTAAAAAAACAGGGGGCAGTATGAAGCGACGGACCATGTGTCCGGGACATCGACTTCGATGGCGACCCGGCGACACATCGACACTGAACAACTGGTTAGCCTAGGACTTGTTGACTAGGAGCAAGATCCACTGGATGCCCAAGCGTGACTGCATGCGACATCCACAGTGGCATTCCCGTAGGCGTAGACCATAGTCATACTCATAGTTTATGAGCGAGACCACATCCTCAATCACGTGTCAGTACTACAGTGGGACATGTATTGACGGGGTCAGACCATTCAGCTGATGAAGCAAAATGACCGATGCGTCCGACCCACCCGAAATGCCCATTCCCTCTGACATCACCTTGGTGATGAATACATGAGTAGTAGCACTATTGGCTTGCACAACAATCAATGGATCATGTACATGTATTTCACCCCCACCCAGCCCCCCAGTCCAGGACATACATGTACAATGTACAATGTACAATGTACGAGTACAATCGTCATGTACATGTAGCTCCTACTGTATGATATGAAGGAGACAACACGTTGCAACTGCGAACGTTCGCACGAAGTTTCGCTTTTCGTGACGTCAAACGAAAATTCGCGCGAACGTTCGCTCTGCAAAACCTCTCTATTAATATACTCAATGAAATGCTGTCCCAGCGATTTTCTCAAATTATAGAAGTACACGTTCTAAGTTTGCCCCTCCCCCTCCCCCAGCCAGATCAAAGAGAAGAATGTGCTGACATTCTGTTACGAACCGTTTTTATAGGGACTCTCACTGGAATCTTCCGAAAGTGGTGAGTTCAACAGCGAAAGGTTTCTGTCTTACCCGGCTTTCCATACTTCATGGTTTCACTTGCGTCGTGTGAGTCGGTGTGACTCGTGTTTCGAATTTCGGACTGGCTTCCGTCTTTAGGTGTCGGCCCGCAGTTTAGTCATTAGTACCCTGTAAGAAGGCCTTAGGCCTGTGGGGATTGCCCTATCAAAAATTTGATAATAATAATAATAATTCCTTTCATGGTCGTTTCAATGGACCATTACTTGGCATATCTGGTCAACTACATTGTACTTGTTCTTCCCTGCCACATACACCTGTACATGAACATGATTGTACAGGTACAGTGTTGGCCAGAAGTTTGGGCCTACCTATAAATTTTTGGGGTTTGGCACAATACAGTGGTGCTGCCAGGTTGTGTATCTTCAAACCTGCTGCAAGCCCGATGAAAACGCGTGAGATAAGTTTTCTACAGCGCACGTGCGCTTCAAAACAAATTTTCAGGTGAAAATCATGAAAAAGCTAGGCCCAAATTTTTGGCCAAAATATTTGAATTTGTACGGTACCGTACGGTACAAAAATGTGTGATGCAAAACCAGCGGGAAATTCAACTGCACAACACGTGGTGGTCCTCACGACACGAACAACAAATTTTAGTTGCTGTTTTTGACATTTTTCCTTCCCCATGGGTCGATCCAAGCACCTTTGGCTCTGACGTGAGGGAGTTGACAGTGAAGATGAATAATGATGGCCTCTCTTCGAATGATATCGCCAATTTGACCCGCGTTTGTGCGCGCACGGTGAGAAAACTGTCACCAGGTTCGCCGTGATGCAAAGCTGCAAGAATTAGCCTCGTTCTGGTCATCCAAGGCTGACGTCTGCTCGTGACGACAGGTACCTCAAGGTGATAACTCTGGCTAGCAGAAGGACTTTGTCGTGGGAGCTCAAGACAGACTGGTGCAAAACCGTGGCAAACATGTCCCGAGCCGTACGGAACGTCCCAGACTGCTGAAAGCTGGCCTGAGAGGCTGCAGGATCACAAAAAAACCCGTATATCAACCAGAAAATTGAAGAAACAACTGGTCTTTGCCAGGGCCCACCAAGGATGTACTGTGGACCAGTGGAGCAACGTACTGTGGCCCCACGAGTTTAAATTTAATATGAGAGCATCAGATGGTGTGGTGTATTTCAGTTGTTGACCAGGTGTACAACTTGTGCCAGAGTGTACTGTTGGCACAGTCAAGCACAGTGGTGGCTGCATCATGATACGGGACCGCGTCGCCGGCAACGGTGTCGGGCGGCTCTACAACGTTAACGGAGCGATGAAAGCAGACCAATACCAAGGAATACTGCAGAACAGTTTGCAGCCGTCCATGGTCGATGTGTTGCGCGGTCTGGATGATGTATTTGCGCGCGCACACGCGATAAAGGCGTAATTGGCGGACCGCCCATATCGCGCACTGGGGCGGCCGACGCAGTCGCCGGACCTATATCCTACTGTGGATTTGTGGGAAATGCTGAATTGTCTCTGCCATGATGTTCCCCAAGTCCCATCAACAGAAACACAGCCTGGGGAAGTGTGCAAGACAGCGTGGCGGAAGATCAGCAGGGACAAGTACGCGAAACCCGTCTCGACCATCCCGGCGCGCATGGAGGCTGTCGTCAAGGCAAAGGGAGGACCTACTAAGTGGTAAAATTGGGCAAATAGTTCACTGATAGGTTCTTAGCATGGAAACAAATCATTTGGATTAGATTTAGTTGATATCTATTAGCTAGTCACCTGGATTTTGCTGTTTTTTATTTTTGGCCGTAAGTTTGGGCCTACGCTTTTTCGGTTAAATTGACTTTATTTTATTTTACAACTATCTAGCCTTCGAAAGATGGATCAGAGTATGATCTCTTCGGTAGATAGCCAACTTCAGTAGTTTTGTTCGTGCACTATACAAAGATTTTCTCTGGAAACCTGTTTTCTCTTGGGTAGGCCCAAACATTTGGCCAACACTGTACATGTACACCGGAGGGTGTACCCAGTGTGCTGACAGTGCTCAACACTGCGGAGGCAGAGCGTAATGCAGAACAGAACGACAAGGACAATCAAGGCTTGTTTGCTGGTTGCCTGATGATTGCGAGAGCATGAAACTAACTTCAACTTCAAGTCGCAGCAAACAAGCCTTGATTTTCCTTGTAGTTCTGTTCTGTTCTGTACATGAACATAAAATTATTATTATATCACATGTACAATGTACGTCGAAATAGAGTGCGTGACTTGGTTACGGTGTGCCCAAACGGTAGAGGTTCCTCAGCCTCAAATTGGGTGTCGCGATATTTATATGATTCTATTACACGAGTCACAGGAAAACCACGCGTCTTGGTTACTGCTCTGCTTCCGCATTGAGCACTCTATCGATCCGGAGGACTCCGCTATTTGTATGATTCTATTACAAATGCAACAGATGCACATGCCAATACCAGCTGGTACATGTAATAATATAATAATAACTTTATTAGGATGACCCAAAGGCTGACCGCCTATCGTGGGGTCGGTCGCATTGAAGGATGATGGTACAAGAGAGTACCGATTGGAAAGGGGGGGGGGGGGAGGACTACGATGAACAGGATAACGGCATGCCAGCAAGTAGACCTGAATACTGACAAGAATGTTTGCGCAGCTCTTTCTTGAATACATGAACAGAAGATTCCGAAGTCAATGTGGGTGGGAGACAATTCCATAAAAGGGAGGTTTTGAATAAAAAAAGTCATGTACATGTACATGTACAATGTAGGTCCTCTGTAGACTTGGTTGGGTCGGCAAGTGGTTCCATGCGATGTCTGAATACAATAATCATTCTTGGCGTTTTCTCCCGTAGAAGCATAGCGGTGAGTCAGGCTCCGGCGGATTATGCTCGCGAAATCAAGGAATTTTGCTTTCATGGATTCTCGCATTATGCTCGTAAAATCCTCATAATAATAATTATTATTATGCTTTTGCACCCGGGGATATATATTCACTTTGTTGTACTTACATGTATGGAGCCTCAAAGTTCGGGGAATTGTGCCTTTTTTCGTACTTGCAAGTTGCAAGTGGCCATACGTACAACAAAATACATGTACATGAGTATCCCCATACCAAAGGCAAGGTGTCCATGCATGTAAGAGGTCAACATGGAAAAGAGAAAACAATACTTCTTCTATTCATTACTTGATTTCTTTTGCACTTCAGTAAAAATATTATTTCATTGCCAAATGATACCTTTGAAAATTATCATGTTCAACTGTCTTCGTAATCATCATACTCGTCCAACCGATGTCACCCTGGGCGTCACCCTGCGAAAAATCAGCTCATCTGAGTCATCTCTCCCGTAGCGCCACTTCTCCTTCCATCATGACCGCATCAACTATACATCAATTTAGAGCAATATCCGTAGCCTGCAGTCATATCATGGCTGCTAAAATCCAGACTGGTCATGACTTCGTAACATGCATAATGTACAAATGTAATGTACATGTACATGTACACGGAGTTTTGCGGACTACCCGCCACTATCTCGTCCGCCCCGGGATACCTGATGAAAGCTGATTCACTCGCATCTTCTGCTACATGTACTGTCACAGTGTCAGTGTGAGAAAGAACTTTGAAGAAGACGAGTTCGAGCATACAATAATGTATTGTCATGATTTCTACCCTGCTTTTCATTGAAACCACTATCTGCATGATCTCCGAACCCTTTGCCATGCAGA